ATTTGGGAATTAATCCTATGTGACGGCTTGAAAATTCATGATATTAAGTATATTTATTTATTTAATAATATACAAAAATTATAAAAAATTATTTTTATATTACTATTTATTATTAATATAATTTATTTTATTATAAATTTATATTATCACGTTATATAATAACTTATAATTATAAAATTATTTTCAATAATATGCTGGCGATATACATTTGGGAATTAATCCTATGTGAGGTCTTGAAAATTCAATCCGGAGTCCGGGTTCAAATGACCTCTATGCCATCATGAATTACTCAAAACTACCCTCATATAAACATGGCTGTCATTGGGCCCCAAGCTTTAGGGTTTGGGTGAGGCGGAGGTCAGGCTTCAAGCTCTGCCACCGCCGTAAACTCCACCAACTTGCGATCATCGTCTCAAATGAAGGGTGGAAAGTTCACTTTCCTGAAAAAATTTCAGCTACTAACAAAAAAAACATGGCTGTCATTAAGGGATAAATGGCATTTTCAGCCTTGCGGACTCCAGAATCTAGAGTCTAAACTAAGGAATAGAAATTTGTTTTTCATTTATGCAAAATAATGGCGAAAAGTGTCTTTCCCAATTTGATTGAAAAAATTTACAACCTTAAATCTCAAAAATATTTCATCTTATTAGTAACTTCAATTTTTTTAAAATTTAATTTTAAAATAAAAAAATAAAATTAAAACACTTTAACATTAAGTTTAAGTAACATAATAAATAAAATTTAAGTGAAATTTTTTTTATTAAATCTCTTGTATTTAAAAATCATATTAGTTTTTAATTAAGGCAAAATCAGGTCACCATATAAAAAAACTCATTTAATACTAATTTTTTTATTTAATAGATTTCAAAATCAGATTTTATTTAAAGATAATTAAAATCCTTTCACCTTAACTAACATATGCTTTATAGTATAATGTTTAAGTTAAATACTCTATTGTTGTAATTAGAGTAACAATTGAACTTTTTTTATTGCGTTCTAATTTGAAAAGAGAGTTAAAAAATTATTAAACCAACTTTAAAATAAAGTTTAGAAGCATTTATTAGAACTATTAGCTTTTAAACTTTAATTGGATTAAGATTAGTGGTTTTAAGCCATTCAATGTACCCAAAGAAAAAGATATTGATTAAAAGTTTAAAACCCATCTCCAAGTCACAGCTACTGTTTGTAAAATAAAATGACGTTATTGTCTAGAACTTATCAGGAAAATGCTTGCTGATAGTTGGTGCCGGCTGGCCCAAATTCAAAGGGAGAAAAGAAAAAAAGGAGAAGTCATTTTCCACTGATTAATGCAACTTGCAAGTGGCCAAGAAAAGGCAATGGTGTCTCTCGCCTGTCTGTCGAGCACTCCAGGAGGAGAGGACTGGACGGAAGAACGTGGGTTACTGCTTTTCCCACTTCTTCTTCTCCCCCAAATCAAATCAGTGCCACACCATTCAACATCAATAGTCAGTAGTCAGGACTGCACACTCTTCTTCTTTGGTTAAACCCAATCTTGGACCCTCAACTATTGTATGGACTCCGACTTAGTCTCTCAACTCAAGAAATCTCTAATTTGATCCTTACTATTTATCATTTTTATCTCGATTTGATCTCTCTGTTAAAAATCTCATGACGTATATCGTTAATTTACAATAAATGATGACATGTCAAAATATTATCTTACGTGAAAGACAACATGATAAAAAATAGTGACATGGAAAAAAATAATAATATAACAAAAAACTTAAAAAATTGTTTCTTTTTCTTTTTTTCTTCTCTTTCCTTTTTCTTTCCCTTTTAGGTATGGAACTCAGAGTTAGGTTTGATCGAACCCAACGCTTGGGGTCGTTGGAACCCAACGCTGGGTTCATCGAACCCAGGGTCGAGATTCCTTGGAACCTAGCTTTGGGTTTAGACGAACCTAGGCACTGGGTTCCTTGGAAC